AGGGACTCAAAGTTCAACATGTCAATACTTGATGGAAAATACCTGTTCCATGTTATGCCTAAGATGTTTGATATTCAGGCAGATGGTGAGGTTAAGGTTAACTGCATATGTTATAGGGTAATAATATCATTAAGCTTCTCTTCTGGAGGGTTAACATGTTAAGTTTGCAGACCAAAAATTAGAGAAAAGGAAGGGCTACAAGGACAACCAACATTTTGGCCCAAGCCTTTCAAGTCGGTAAGGGCTAAAGAAATAGGAGAACTTGTACTGTAACTCAGTTGTGTCTCGCATTTTCTGATCAAGGTGATTATGGGGGCCACAAAGGAAAGTGATCGATGATGTAGAGTGTGCCTAAAGAGAGTCACATGGGGAGAAAACATTCTCTCAGGCTTTCACAGAGAGCAAATTGGTCAAGCAATGGCTGTTACTCATCCACATGGCTGACACTGACAAAGGATCTACAAACTGTGGTACAGGGTTTCACATTAAATCCTGAGGGGATTTGACTGACCTTATCAGATACAGAAGTTACATTTCTTGTTATACGGGTCTTGCTCTTTCTTGGTCTTAATCATCCAGCATAAAAGTATGAAAATGAAGTATAAAAGTAAAGCCATATTAATATGGTGAGTTGTAAAAGGCTCAAGTCAACATCTTCAGAGTTTGACAGTCTTATGGAAACCCCACTACTATTATGGACTATTGGACTACATTGGGATATTTTGCTGAATTCATGCACCTACAGTATTTAAGTGAAAGTGGAATGCCCTTCTCTGACAAAACTAACCAAAAAAGTGGAATAGAAATGAATGACCATTTTGTATCTGTATATTCAAAATAGTTAGGATAGATATACAGCTGCATTCTCTTAATTCAGTGAATAGAGAGGTTTGTCCTATTAGTGTTTGAGACAGGATATCATGTCTGCATCTTGTACAATGAATAACCACTAAGACAACAATATGTAATATATTAGTTATTGAAAATGTACTAGTAATCAGTTGTAAACTGTCTCATTGCTATTTGTTCTCAATAAAAATATTTTAAAAAAAGAAAGCATGTATAGTGGGAACTATTGGTGTAATTCTTTTGGGAAAGTGAAACTGCAAAGTATACAGTATTAGAATAAATATTTATAGTTTGTATTAGAAAAATAACCTGACGTTCCTAGCAGCATTAGCCCCCAGTTCCCTCCCCGCGACCACATAGCTACCATTTTGTTGCTTGATTGGAGTTAATAGCACTGATGCACGACTACATTTTCCTGTTCATTGAAGTAATATTTGTTACAGATTGACAACCATGGGTTCATGCTGTTTTTCAAGGCATTGGCATAAGAAAGAAAATATTGTGGCTACTATTCACATAGTCTGTTTCTTTTATTAGTCAACCTTCAAGGTTAAAGAGTGACTTTCAAATGTCTATAGCCCTGATAACTGTGCTAGTGCTTTACCCAGAGCAGGCACTTAATAAATATTTGTATCTTTTCACTGTTGCTGAGCTAATTTGAGGTTTTCTGACTGGACAGATTTTATATCCTGCATTCATCATTTGAAATTTAGATCATGTGACTTCTTCCTAATAATTATTTTCACTTTACTCTCATAAGTCACTCAAAGTGAAAAATAGAAACCTTTCCTTAAATGGAGCATAGTGACAGTTATGAAATTCTCTCTGGGACCAGAAGCTGCTGCCCACACAACCCACGCCTTGGGTGTGGGGCTCTGGGTCTTATGACAAAGACCACCCAGTTCTAAACCCTCACCAAGCATGTCGCTTCAGGTTCTGTGCCTCTCTTCCTCATCTATTTAAAAATGAGGATAATAATAGCAGCAAAGAGTTGCCGCCAGCGTAACATGAAGCAATAGTCAAGAAAATGCCAGAAATGGAAGAAAAATGCTAACAAATGACAAATAATGGTGGAAACGAAATTTGGATACAAAGAACAGATGTATTTAATTTTATTACTACTCTTAAAAAATTTTATTTATTTATTTGGTACTGGGTCTCACTACACAGCTCAGACTTGTAATGACCCTCCTATCTCAGTTTCCCTGTACTGGAATTACAGGCATGCACCACCAGGCCCACTTTTGGGCCAGCACAGCATGCGGTACCAGGGATGGAAGCCTGGTCCTTGCGCTTGTCAGGCGGGCTCTTAGACCACAGAGCTATCTCTCCAATTTTATTAGTAATAAAAGAACAAAGTATATTTTCAAGATATTAGCCATAAAAGGTTCATTTGGCAAAATATTTTTAAATAGAATAACATTAAATTTGGGTCATCCTAACGCTTTAAATTTGTAAGCAAATGTTTCTATCAAAGTATAATCTAACTGCATTTGAAGTAATTGCATTTGCAGTTATTTAACGTACAGCCTTTCAAGATCACATTCTTTGCGCTGGGTAAAGAAGGATCTTTGAACTGATAAAGATATTAGCTGCTGTGTGGGGCAAAAAATCTATAATGAATGTGCATTAAGGGCCAGGATTTTCTATAAAAAGGGCCCGGTGCAAACGCCAGAGGCATACCAAGTCAGTTCACTAGCGTTTGGGATTTCCGAGGCACAGGGCTGAGTACTGAGGAGGAAGCAAAAGATGAATAAGTGCAGATGCCTCAGGGAGCCAAGGCCTGAACTCAGCAACGGGAGTGGAAAGCGCAGTGGGTGGCTTGATGCAGGAGAAGCACAATTCAGGGAGAACCTGATGGAGCTTTAAATAATTTAATTTTCCCTGTTTGAATTAAAAAAAAAAATTCTATTTTGGATCTCTTTTTCCCATGTGCCAGGTCCCTTGTTGGCAGAAAATCCACGACCCTGTAAAATCTCTCCTACTCCCTGTTCTTTCTTCAGAAATTCGGTGAGTTCTTCTGCCACCGACACTGCATTTAGAATAGTGTCTATTGTGTGGGTGGTGAACGATGGAAAGTTATTTTTGTTCTAATTATGAGAACTGTTTTACTGGGAGGAGAGGGGAAAGGGAGAGGCTGATCTGAGGCTGAGATGCTGCCTGAGGATGCTCTGAGGAGGCGTTACTAAGGTTACTAGACAGAACGGCCTGTGATAGGCAGGCAGGTTTTTTGAAAATATATTTTTAAATAACGGGCGTAGGCTGAGCTGCGGGCAGTGTCACACGGTACTACATGGTAGATTACTTAGAGGAGAAAGAAAGGAGCCCCAGAAAAAACGTAGAGATTGCATTGCACGAAAGGCGACCAGTCGCTCCTTTCCGGCCCTTTTCTCCCGACGCCCTTGTTTCCCGTAGGTGTTCTGGTTGTAGCACAAACTCCCCGCACCCGGGGACGGTGCTTTTTGGGTGTGACACCCCGTTGACTGGAACCGGAAGCGCCCGGCACCGTAGAGAGGCGCGGGGTGAGCGGCCGCGTAGGGGGGCTCTGACGCGCTGCGCGGCGCGGCGCGGCGGAGCGGGTCGGCCTGCGGCGGCTCTCTCGCACCGCCGGCGGTCACGGGGCGGACCTGGCAGAGCAGGGAGGCCGGGCAGGGAGGGTGTGTAGGGAAGGCTGCGGGTCCGTGCGCCGGGCAGGCCGCGAAACTTTCCGAGGAACGTTTGTATATATATTTTTTCGATGACAGATTCCAGACATACTCGGCGTCGCCGTTTTCGAGTTTTTCTCGTTCTTGTCAGTTGATTTCGTAGCTTGAAGTGAGTGAAAGCTTTTTATAATACAACCACGGGGTGACAGCGAGGAACGTGTGGTTCCCTCCCTAAGCGGGAGCGGCGGGAGCGGCCGGAAGTGGCGCTGGGGAGAGGGGCGGGG